AAATCAGAACAACAATAACTACCATAACTGGCTCTTTAATGACCAAACAATACTCACAAAACGAAAAACGAACTAACATTTTTACTAAGATGAAAGAAAAACACAGTTGATACTTATCTCGACGCGACTTCCAGAATGGGTCATGAGCTTGGCCAAGGAGCATCCCCGCATCAAGGGCATCGTGGCTGGACTTGACCCTTCGCACCAGCAGGTAAGAGGAGAGAGAGAGAGAGAGAGAGAGAGAGAGAGAGAGAGAGAGAGAGAGAGAGAGAGAGAGAGAGAGAGAGAGAGAAAATTATTCGTCGTCGCCTCCGTCTGTTTTCTCCCCTTCTGCTTTTGTTTTATGTCAGTGGTCGCTAGGAGAGAGAAAAAAAGTTTTTTTTTTTTTTTATTGGGAAGTTGTTTTTTAGGGGGAATGTTGAGGTGGAAAGCGGAAAGATGTCATTAATATCGAGTTTTTTTTGTTTTGATTTAGGGGAAACGATACGGAGAAAAGCACTAAGAGAAATATTTTTCAAAGGGAAAGTTCTTTGTTTCTTTGTTTTAGTAATGTTCCTTGTTTTGTGGTAAACGAAGAGGAATGTAAGCAAAGAAGTAAATTTGTGGATTTTTTAAAAATGTCACCCTCAACCAGAATTATAAATTCTAGATGTGATTTATGCTGGGCGATGAGGATTTGTTGTCAAAGGGTGTGTAATGGGAAGAAATTTTTGCCAAATGAGAGTGACTTAGCTTGAAATTTTACACCCGGGGAATTTTTTTTGTTAGGGAAGGCCATTGATTTTTTTTTTGTTTTCTTTTCTTTCTTTTTGGTACCTGTGTACATTAGGGAAGGACGTGTTTAATAGCAGTTTTTTCAATACGTATTCTGCATACTTCTTCACTAAATAAATAAAAATAACCAGAATACCCCTTTGGCCCTGAAAAAAAAACACGATAAGGAAATAACACTTCTAGACTTCGACATTACTTCATTATCGGAGTTTTCTGTTCTAGTGAAGTACATGAAGTTATTGATCCGACTTCATAAATATTTCAGTTATTACTACTATTAAGAATTATAGCCCTGGAAATAATTATTCGCATGTACGTTTCAAATGAGTGAGGGGCTGGGTTGACACTGAGAACCACTGCTATATGCTTTGTTTATTTAAATCTTTATTTTATCCCTACTTCAGCCTTTAAGTTAACGGCAGGTAATTACTTTTGCTTACTTACCTGGCAAAGTAAATAAATTAATAGATAATACTAAAACAAATACTTCATAATTTAGAATATCGGTAGATATTACGTACTGATAGATAAACAGATAACTGTGAACTAATGTATTCTTAAGCAAAGGGGAATTAATAGATTCAGAAACGAATGAATAAAAGGAGCATATAGGTATGGAAGAAGGAATCAAATGAGTATATAGATTAGCAAGCAATTAAATTTAGTGATTAAATAACATATTTTTCAATTTCGTTATTCTCTTCAGTTAGTAGCTAAACAAGCAAGAAGTTGAGCGAGTGAATAAATAGATGATATATAAACAAGTTAATTAATAGATAAACAAGCAGATAAGCAGAGAGTAAATAAATAGACGATAGAGACACAAACAAATAATTTTCGTGCGTAAATAAAAACATTTTTCGTGCTCGTTATCCCTCGACGTCCAAGTTCGAGAGTCGGCTGACGGCGCTGAAGTCCGAGGTGCCGATCCTGGTGGGCGTGAGACATATCCTGGACTTGGAACCTCGACCGAATTACCTGGAGTTAGAGGAGGTCGCTGCCGGTGTCCGAGCCTTGCACCGACATGACATGACCTTTGACCTGCTCCTGAGGTGGGTGGATTTTGGTCTTGGAGAGTCTCGGCTGACGGTATGATTGGGTGGTTGGGGACCACGCACGGGCGTCATGTCAGCTTTTTTTTTCTTGGGGGAGGGGGCAGAGGTGGATTGGCGAGCGAAACGAACAAAACAAAAATTAAAATTAGCTATTCTAGGGGCATTATTAAGCTATAACTGAACCTATGTAGGAGTATTATAGTTAAAAAAGTCAAAATTGTGACCTTTGGGAAGGGCAAGCCAGACCTAGAGGGGGCCAAACAGTTTTTTGGGGAGGGAGCAACTGCCCCCCCCCCCCAACAATTGACGCCCCTGGGACGACGGTTAAAAGAGGGGCGGGATACGTGCCTACATATGAAAGTAGATGAGGTTTTGTTGATTATTGTGATGTTCTAACTTTTTGTGATATCATTTATATTATTCATGGTTGCTGTTATTGCTAGGTTTATATTATCACTATTACTATTATTATTAGATTTTCTTGACGTTGCAGTTGTTTTTATCATAAGACGAACCAACGAAGCTCCGATCCCACAATCGCCAACACAAACACGTTCCTCTCCACATCCACACCTACCACACCAAATACCCTGAAGATAAAAAAATAATAATAATAATAGATAAATAAAAAGCCCCCCCCCCAAAAAAAAAAAAAAAAAAAAATCAAATTAAAAACTCTCCTCCTCTCCTCCTTCCCCCTCTCCTCCTCCCCCCTCTCCCCCCACAGACCCCCACTGCTGGAGGGGGCGACGGTGCTGGCCAGCCGAGTGCCCGAAGCGAGGATGGTGGTGGATCACTTGGCCAAACCCTACATTAAGGACGGCCAGCTGGACCCGTGGCGCCAACACATCGCCGCCATCGCTCGCTTCCCCAATGTCTACTGCAAGCTGTTCGTGGTGGTTGTTGTTATTGTGATTTTTATTGTTGTTGCGATTATTGTTATTACTATTCTCTCCCTCACTCTCTTCTTCTCTTATTTTCACCTTCCTTCGTCTCATGTTCCCCTTCTTCCTCTCCTTCTTCCTTCTCTTTTCCCTTCCATCCCTCATATCCTTAGCCTTATCCTTTTCCTTCTCCTTATCCTTTTCCTTTTCCTTTTCCTTCTCTCCTTCCTACCTCCCTCCCTTCATCCACCTTTCTCTCTCTCTCACGCTCATTCTGTCGCTTTGTCTCTCTCTTCCCCATCCTCCCTCACACCCCTTTTCCTTTCTCTTCCTTTTTCTCTCCCGCTAACTCTCTTCCTCCCCCTCCCCCTCTCCCTCCCTTTCCCTTTCCATGTCCCCTTTACTTTTTTCTCTCTCTCCCTCTCTTCCTTACACTCCCTCTCTAACCTAACCCACCGTCTCCTTCTCCCTCTTCTTCTGTCTCACCCTCTCCATCTGCTTCTGCCTCTCCGTCTCTCCGTCTTCCTCTCTCCCTCTGTCTATCCCTCCCTCCTCTCTCTCTCTCTCCGTTCTCTCTCTCTCTCTCTTTCTCTTTTCCTCTCTCTTTTTTTCCTCTCTTCCTCTCCCTCTCCCTTTCGCTCTCCCTTTTCTTCTCTCTTTCTTCTGTCCCTATGTCTATCCCTCCCTCATCTCTCTCTCTCTCCGTTCTCTCTCTCTCTCTTTCTCTTTTCCTCTCTCTTTTTTTTCCTCTCTTCCTCTCCCTCTCCGTTTCGCTCTCCCTTTTCTTCTCTCTTCTTCCCTCTCTCCCCTCCCTCTCTCCCCCTCCCCTTACCCGTCCCCCTACCCGGCTCCCTACCTGTCCCCCTACCCGTCCCCCTACCCCTCCCCCTACCCCTCCCCCTACCCCTACCCCTCCCCCTATCCGTCCCCCTCCCCCTCTCCCCATGAAATCTCTCCCAGAACCTGAGATAGTATAACGTACCTTTGTAAGCAAATGCTGATAATCGAGGAAACAAAAAAACTCGGATAAAGATGTAGATATCTTATCTGATTACTCGACAGGTTTACTGTGCTTTCCCCAGCTCCAGTGTGTGTGTGTTTCTTACGATTTAATTGCCTTTTTCTTGTCTTGGTTTCCCCCCTTTCGCTTACTGAATATTTTCCTTTTTTTCGCTCGGCGTTATTTCTGTTGATTTATTCATTTGTTTTTGATTCTTAGTTTTTATCTCGTTTTGTTTTTTTGGTCTCTCCCCTTTCCCTATCTCTATCTTCTCTCTTCTCTCTTCTCTCTTCTCTCTTCTCTTCTCTTCTCTTCTCTTCTCTTCTCTTCTCTCTCTCTCTCTCTCTCTCTCTCTCTCTCTCTCTCTCTCTCTCTCTCTCTCTCTCTCTCTCTCTCTCTCTCCCCTTCTCTCTCTCTCCCCTTCTCTCTCTCTCCCCTTCTCTCTCTCTCCCCTTCTCTCTCTCTCCCCTTTCTCTCTCCCTCCCCCTCTCTCCCTCCTTCCCTCCCTCCCTCCTTCCCTCCCTCCCTCCATCTCCATCTCTCTCTCTCTCTCTCTCTCTCTCTCTCTCTCTCTCTCTCTCTCTCTCTCTCTCTCTCTCTCTCTCTCTCTCTCTCTCTCTCTCTCCCTCCCCTTCTCTCTCTCTCCCCCTCTCTCCTTCCCTCCCTCCTTCCTTCCTTCCCTCCCTCCCTCCCTCCCTCCCTCCCTCCCTCCCTCCCTCCCTCCCTCCCTCTCTCCCTCTCACCCTCTCACCCTCTCACCCTCTCTCTCTCTCTCTCTCTCTCTCTCTCTCTCTCTCTCTCTCTCTCCCTCTCTCTCTCTCTCTCTCTCTCTCTCTCTCTCTCCATTCTCTCTTTCTCTCTCTTTCTCTCTCTCTCTCTCTTCTCTCTCTCTCTCTCTCTCTCTCTCTCTCTCTCTCTCTCTCTCTCTCTCTCTCTCTCTCTCTCTCTCTCTCTCTCTCTCTCTCTCTCTCTCTGTCTCTCTCCATTCTCTCTCTCTCTGTCTCTCTCCTTCTCTCTCTCTCTCTCTCTCTCTCTCTCTCTCTCTCTCTCTCTCTCTCTCTCTCTCTCTCTCTCTCTCTCTCTCTCTCTCTCTCTCTCTCTCCACTCTCTCTCTCTCCACTCTCTCTCTCTCTCTCTCTCTCCACTCTCTCTCTCTCTCTCTCTCTCTCTCTCTCTCTCTCTCTCTCTCTCTCTCTCTCTCTCTCTCTCTCTCTCTCTCTCTCTCTCTCTCTCTCTCTCTCCCCTTCTCTTTCTCTCCTCTCTCTCTCCCCTTCTCTTTCTCTCCTCTCTCTCTCCCCCTCTCCCTCCCTCCCTCCCTCCCTCCCTCCCTCCATCTCCATCTCCATCTCTCTCTCCATTCTCTCTCCCTCTCCCCCTCTCCCCCTCTGTCCCTCTCCCTCTCCCTCTCCTCCCTCTCTCGTTCCATATTTACTTTCCCCCCGCTCCCTTCTCCGTGCCACCACCTGCTGCTGACAGTGTGCTCTCCACAGCTCGAGCATGGTGACTGAGGCAGACTGCGATAAGTGGAAACCAGAGGATCTCCGTCCGTATGTCGAGGCGAGTCTAGGCGATTCCTTTGGCGTAACTGTGATCTTATTTCGTGGGGGGAATATTAGAATTCAAATATTATAAAAAGAAAAAAAGAATAAATATATAAATAAATAAATAAAGGTAATTGCAAATTGAGAGATGGATTAATATGTCATTTTAGTTTTTTTGTTTTTTTTTCTTCGTCTTTCAGCATATGATAGCCGTGTTCGGATGTGATCGCCTCATGTTCGGTTCCGACTGGCCCGTGTGTCGTCTCGCTAGAGCGGATTACGACACCGTATTTTCCACCCTACGCGGACTCCTGAGCCACCTGCCGGAGCAACAGCTGGAAAAGATCTTCTGCAGCAACGCCAGGAACTTCTACAAAGTTTAGAGCGTTTCGTTGAGTTATTACTTTAGGTGATCGAAGAATTTTGGGTCCTTCTCGTCTGTTTTTATTCTTTTATTATCTACTGTATCTTATGTTTTTCTTTTTTTTTCTCTCTTTTTTCGCATTTTCTTGTGTTTTTCTCTCTTTTTCTCATTTTGTTTCCTCTTTTCTTTTCTATTTTTTTCCGTGAACTTATTTTCCTTTTCTTGTTCTTGTCTGGCTTCTCTTTTTCTTCTTATCCTCTTCATTATTATTATTATCTTTTCATCTTCATATTTTCTCCTCTTTCTTTTCTCCTTCGTCTTCTTCTGCTGCTGCTTCTTCTTCTTCTTCTTCTTCTTCTTCTTCTTCTTCTTCTTCTTCTTCTTCTTCTTCTTCTTCTTCTTCTTCTTCTTCTTCTTCTTCTTCCTCTTCTTCTTCCTCTTCCTCTTCTTCTTCCTCTTCTTCTTCCTCTTCCTCTTCATCTTCATCTTCTCTCATCCTTCTTCCCGTATTTCTTCTGACACCCACTTCTTCCCTTCTTGAGTGTGAAATAAAATACTCGACATTGTGATATCATGTCAATCTTAAAGGGAATATCTGACAAATTAATGTTATCAGAAAGAGAAATAATATTCATTCTGTTAAACTATAAATCTGTTTTTTATCAAACACCATAAACTACATTATATTGTTTTGATAAAATTATCTTTTTTTTCATGATAACCTGTTTTTTTTCCACATGTGCGTGTTCAACATACCTCAAGATATCGATATGTTTTACTCTTCTCTTTGGCTTTACATTATTTTCAGTTTTATTTTTTTATTTTCTTATTGTCTAACCTTGTGGTAATGAAATTCCTGTGAAAATGTATTGTTGATGCGTTTTTTATATATTTTTTTATTAATATATATTGAGTATCTTGTGGTCCTCGTCGTTAAGTTCTATATACAATAGGTTCTGATAATAATTTTATTTTACAGGGCTATATCGGTTTGGTTGATACCTACTAATGGAAAGTAATTAATCACAAGCTTTAAAAAAATACGACCGTTAAGGCCGTGACAAAAAATTGAAAAGTTAAATGACGTTTTGATAACTTACTAAAATACATTTACGCGACAGATTAATTTAAATGATAGTCAATCCGGAATATAGCTATGCATTTAGTATATATATATATATATATATATATATATATATATATATATATATATATATATATATATATATATATATATATACATATATACATATATACATATATATATATATATATATATATATATATATATATATATATATATATATATATATATATATATATATATATATATATATAACATCATGCAGTAGACGAAGTGGGGTGTGTGGGGAGGGAGGACGTGACCGGATACAGAATATATATGATAGACAGTCTTCATTTATTCTTTCATTTCTTTCTCTTTTGTGTCATCTCTTTCCCTTTTATGTTACTTAGGAAAGCTAAATCCTCGTATAATATGAGAATATTTTTTTCTCTTCATCACCCGCACGTAATATAAAACATATAAAAAAAATTCTCTTTCACCTCTAACAATGACGAAGATTAATAAATAAATACAAATAAAAACCCCTTCGACTAATCTAATTCCACTGGCTTATATAAACCCGCCGTCAGCTGTTCCCCGGATCAAAGTTACACCTGAAATCCCCCATTGCCTAGTCTTCACTTAATGGGATCGGGTGTCCAAGGCAAGCTAGGCCTCGGGGAGATTAAAACATGTGACTAACTTGGGGTATCGAGTTTTGATGAGGAGGAGGATGAGACGGTCTTGGGTTAATGAGAGAATTCTTTGATATTTCTTGCGTCTTGAAAATCTAGTTGGGTTTATGAGAGAATTCTTGATATTTCTTGCGTCTTGGATATCTAGTTGGGTTAATGAGAGAATTCTTGTTATTTTTTGCGTCTCGAAAATCTAGTTGAAAAGGTTTTTTTAATGTAGATTAGTGTATCGCTCGCTCTTTGAGTAAAGATTGAATAATGGTGGAATCTTCTCCATTCAGTTACATGCGTTTTCAATTCCTGTTGAATAATATACCATGATATTCCTTGTTAAACAAGTTACCTAATGAGCAAGCCACTTATTAACTTTTTCACTTGTTTAAAAAAAAAATTAAATGTAGTAAACAAATAAGAAATATTTAAACTACTTACAGAGGTCTATAAATATTTATCCTAACCCAACTCCAGAGTAAGGAGGCCATAGCATGCTACTGTATACTGTTTTAAGCGCCGTGTATATGGTTCTCGGTGAATTGAAATGCGCCAGAAGCAGCAGACAAAGTTTAGAGGTTCGTGACTGCGAAAGTTACTGAATTGCGGAAAACGTATTTTTAGTCAGGAACAAGTATGGCCATCATATGTAAATAGTAATGATGATAGCGAGATGGAAATGTTCTCTTTATTGATATGTTAAATAAAGGGAATTCAATAAGATCAGTGCTCGATCAGCCCCTGATTGCATGAGATTCAGTAAACCCATCATCATCATCATCATCATCATCATCGTCATCGTCATCGTCATCATCATCATCATCATCCAAGAGCGTGCGCGTCTGTATATCATAAAATGGAGATTCAGACAGTAGAATGGTTCGAAACTTCGTACATTTCCTGAGAAATATATGGGACTTCGAGATCTTACATGAAAGTTCTAGATTTATTGTACTTCAGCGACACGGAACCTTCAGGCAACAAGCGCCACGTTTTTTCTAAACATCAGTTTTCTCTCTCTCTCTCTCTCTCTCTCTCTCTCTCTCTCTCTCTCTCTCTCTCTCTCTCTCTCTCTCTCACTCTCTCTCTCTCTCTCTCTCTCTCTCTCTATCTATCTATCTCTCTCTCTCTCCCTCCCTCTCCATCTCCCTCCCTCTCCCTCTCCCTCTCCTCTCCTCTCCCTCCCTCTCCCTCTCCCTCTCCCTCCCTTTCAAAGCTCCCATGTTACATAATCTGATTACGATTCCCTAAGCTCTCCCTACATGCACTTGCCGAGTAGTGATATATGCATCATTACAGTAAACCTGCCTTGCATATACAGTAGAAGAAATCGCCACCAAAATCTAGTATTAAACCCTAATCTGTGATATTTAAGGGTGAATGTCACTTAATTGTATAGATCCGAGATAATATGAACAGATGAGCAAGGCGAGGCTTCGAATCATCTCAAAACTATTACGCCAGTGTTAAATAGTTATATTTATTTAGTGATAACTGCTTCGTGTAAAGATGTAGATTATTGTATTGAAGATTTGAGAGAGAGAGGAGGGATTGGTGAGAGTAGAGTGCGTTTGTGAGAAGTTATATGTGTGTTAGAAATTTTGGTGAATATTTGATTGTGAAGGAATATGTTTTAAGTCTGTAATCCGTTTTCGTGTGAATCCATCTTCTTGATTGTGAATGAGGCGATTCCTTTCGATTTTGAAATATGATTTTGAGCTGAAGTGAAACGACTGATAAGATTTTTGTATTTATTTTTATTTTTTTTATTTACTTCAGGGCAAATAATTTCAAGAATATGCCTGGTATTGTTTTATCGTATTAACTCACCCCACCCCACACTTTCGATGTTAGAAATTTACGTTTCGTGATGCTTACGATAAAGTGAATTCGAGTTGGATATTGTCAGAGTTAAAGAGTCGAATGTGATTGGATTGAAATTGTGATTGAAAATGTGATTGCAATTCTGAAACTTGAACTTTATTTAACCATTTTCCTAAGCGGTCAAACCGTTGCCGTTTTCCCTAACACATAAATTATATAATTATATAATTATATAATTATATAATTTTATTCTCATTAGGCTGTCTTGTCTCCAGTTCTAATTACTTCAGATATTACTATTAAATATTGCTTTCTTTTTATTGGTGTTCACTCTCTAGCCAGCCTTCAAGGTGTCCTTATTTAGGTCATTGAGTATTTCTTGTAGAAGCTGAGATTATAACATCGTCTATTTCTCTCCCAATTTATCTTTTTTAAAGTGCTTTCGAAAAAAAAGAAAAGAAAAAAAATACATATGTACTGTATCTCCTTGTCTTGCTCACATTTGCTATCTTTGATTTATTTATTTATATATTTATTTGATTATTAATTTTCATTTTTATGTTTTCATGTAGCCCTGTTAATGCCGACAATATGCACTGAAGTCCTGAAGGGGGAGTAAAATATACTTGTAGTTTTCTTAGTCCTAAGGCTGGTCATATTATTATTTTCTTTTTTTTCGATAAGCTTGATCGTAGCGTGAAGATGATCCATGGTTGTGTGTGTGTGTGTTAGTTTGTTTGTGTTTTATCATTATTATTATTATTATTATTGTTGTTATTATTATTATTATTAATATTTTGTGTATGTGTGTAGTCTAGCATGTACGTATGTATTTGTGCATGTATTATGAAATGAAATAACAAAAAATGCGAGACGTTTCATAATGTCATCTCTAAATGAAATGCAACGACCCCAAGCCTCGTATATCTCGTCCCGCAAATCCCATAATAATATTAGAATATATCCAAGCGTGTTATCATAAGGTACAGAATGCTAAAAATAAAGATAAATAAAGATAAAGATAATCACATAATAATTCTCATTCAGGATTACGTAACTTAATCCGACTGCATAATTGGTTTAAATATCCTTGCTCCATTTAAAGCCGACTCGTGTTCAATTTACCCTTGAGGAGAAAACCCATCTAGATGTATGTTCGGTGTGTAACCTTTGGTAATTAAAGTTCGCGAAAATTAAGGAGATTTTGGCATTTTTATGTTGAAATGTGAATTGGAATGATGAATCTAAGGCTTAATCTGATAAAGAGAGATGAAAGAAACGAAGAAGTTAGTTTCTTTTCCTTCCAATAATCATATCGCTAACCATATTACCAAGACATATGACACGCTATATGCGCACAGAAAACATATTGCTAAAAGTCAGTTGTATTTAAGTATGCAATGGAGATTAATCCCAAATGCTGTAGATTACCGAGAGCGCCAGTCTTCCGTTTATACAGCGCAAAAGGGGAAGCCGATCTATTAGCCCGCGCTGTTGAACAATTAAAATCTTATGTGATCGTCTTTTCGTTACGTGAAATATACAAAACTCGATTGACTACGCATTTAAGATATTCATTAATCAATCATATTTTAATACTGCAATGGTATAATTAAATGTCGACTATACCTTTCTCATTTTCTTCACGGAGAATAGCAAAGCTCAAACGCACATTGTATACAAAAAAAGTCCGCCATCCTGCCGCAAGTCATCTAGAAAGTCGATTTGCGGCCAACTGAAGCATTGGGAATAGCTAGCCTCGGACGGTCAGTTTAATAGCACAAACGTTTTTTTTTTCTTTCTTTCTTTATAACGGAAGGCGGTAAACATCAGAAGAAATTAAAAAAAAAATGTTGAAAGAGAATATTATAACTCTGGTATGATTGCTGTTAAATGTTTCTTACTTCTCAAACGGACTTAGATGAAAGTAACGAAAATAGTGCGTGAGTGCTGTAAATATCGATTTATTTGATGAAACTTTCAAGTGCGGCGTCCCGTGAGCTATATTAGCAACAAAAGAATTTATAACAAATTAATGAAATTGACCGTTATCACGCAATATGTCTTTCTTGCATCGAGTTAAAGACCAGATGAATTCACAGAAATAATATTGAAGCAAATGAATATCATCATTTAA